CATTCCTGCAAACTCCTTGTATATGTACCAGAGCGCGTGTGGCCGTACTACCAACAGAAGGAAGAGGTCCAACTGAAGACTAAACTAGAAAAAGATCAGCATCTTAAATGTGACATGAAAGCACAGACTAGGATTTGCACTGAGTCACAGAATCACAGTCTGGTTTGGGTTGGAAGGGACCTGAAAGACCACCTAGCTCCAACCCCTCTGCCATGGGCAGGGACACCTTCTACTAGGTCAGGTTGCTCCAAGCCTCATCCAGCCTGGCCTGGACGACATCCAGGGATGGGGCATCCGCAGCTTCTCTGGGCAACCTGAGTCCATAACGGGGCCACTCACACGTGGAACTGAATAACTTCCAACAGCGCACCATGCCGGAATCCCGACAGGCCCACATGTGTTTCCACAAAGCAGGCAACTACGTTAGACCTGATGTTATATTCCCACAGCCTATTCAACATGATTAGGACTCGGAGATGACTCTCAAAAACGCTGTTGGAACACTGGTTTCTTAAATTCATGCAACTGGGTGAAAAACCAAGAGAGTACTTTCTAGGGCATTTAGAGAGTTTGTGCATGAAGGTGGCCATCAGCTCCGGGCAAGCCCACTTCATGCTTCTGGCAGATTAGCAGGCAGCTGTGCGCACCTTAAACCGACTGCCGTCTCAGTGTGATGTCACAACGTTAGAGATCGAAGTACCTTGCTAGAAATCTAGAAAGAGCACATGCAACTGTCTGGTGGACCTTACTAAAATAACCCAGAGCACCCAGACCACCTTATTTGAAAGGATGCAAAAGTCAACGTTAGAATTAAAATAATTTTATTTCAGTGTACGTGAACAGAAATAAAATAGAATTTTTTAAACTTGGGTACAGAGATATATTGCTGGGCTGGCCCAATCACACATGTCCTCCACTATAAGGCAGCAAGACTGACCAGACACACTTCACTGCTTTTTGGGTCAACTGGGCTCAAAGTACCACCTCAAAAGGGTCCTGCAGCACACAGCAGACTATTTTGGTTTGAAAACGAAAAGAATCGTAGAATCAACTCCCACCTAACCTGAAATTTTACAGTGTTCCAAGGAAGATTTCCCTTGAATATCCTTACTGAAGAACGGCACACAGTATGCGGTGCTATGTCTCAACTTAACAGATCGAGGTTTCTCCCAAATAATTTTCTCTACTCTACTCTCTTGTACAAAGCATCTGCTACAAAATCCACACAGTCAAACCCACAGAATTATACAAACCTGTGAAGGAGGCTGTTTATGCTTGTTGCTATGTGCTATTACCCGCTGTACCAGCTTTAACGTGCGGCGTACACGGATGGTGAAAGGGCATTTCTCTTGACCATCCGTTTCAGAGTTCATAGAAGTGACAACTGTTTTTACAACTTGCAGTGCAATGCACTTAAGTTATTCAACGTCACAATATGGCACCAAAAGATAAGCAATCTTTGCCTTTTTTTTACTTTACTAATCATTTTGAGGTGCTTTACTGATAGTATAAATAAAAATAAATTTCAAAAGACAACTGGAAGAGGAACTGATAGGTAAAAATCATTAACAAGTGTCCACCATCTCCTTTAATAAAGAAAATTAGAAAAAATGGAACTGTCAGGCTGAAGGAAAACAATAGGAAGCAACTCTTCATACACCACAGTAAACTGTGGACTCCTTGCCATATGACGTGGATGCTAGGATACCATGAGGATTTAAAGAGACCGTTCCCCATGATTTTAACCAGCAAATGCTCTCAGATACAGAGTTCCCCAAACCACAGATTTCTTGAAGTATACTCTGGGGATGCACTGCTACCTGCTCACCCTGCTTTTACTCTTCCTTGTGCATCTGCTTTTGGCCACTGAGACCGGATGTTGGGCCAGAGGGAGCTTTGGTCTGACTTGGTACAGCTGTTTCTAACAGTTACTTCAAAACACTTATAAACTTATACTTAAGACAAAGTTCATCGTTCGCAACGTTACCTAGTTAGAAGGACTCTAGGTTCTAAATTACAAATGACTTCCAAAAGAAGAAAAAAAAATGTTTAGGCTTTTTTCTGCTATGACTCAGTTGTATAAAACTGTATAGAAAAATGAGCATTATGTGCAGATGTAATGAAAAGCGGTAAACTTTATAAAAAACATTCTTAGAAATGTACCAAGCATAAACAAAAAATGATTTACAAATACATTTAGCTGTTCTTCTAGTCATCATCAGAATCTGAATCATATTTCTTTCCTCTGATGGTCATCTTCTCCAACTTCGCAAAGCTTGTTCCAAATTTCTTTTGACTTTGAAAAGGTGGGTCCATCAAGTTTCCACTGGAGGAAAAGAGTAAGACGTGTTGATTAAAGCTGTATTCATGCAGACAGTAAGTACATCTCTAACTACCCGTTTCTCCAGAAAAACACTGTAAGAGAACACAACACCTACTCCCTAAAGCCACCCTCAGGTGCACTGTGGTGTTGGTAGCACAGCACACCCTGGACCAAATGGCCTGGGTATCTGCAGTTAAGACAGAAGTGTGAGTGTAAACATCACTTGTGAGTGGAGCTCCAGGAAAAAAACTGTACAAAAGGGCTTTTGCTGCAAACTTATCATGCTGAAGACACCAGCTGTCAGGTTAAACAGTAACCGGGGAATTACAGAGAGACTTTTCAAAATAAAGGAGGAGACAGTAGTACAAAAGAAGCTAAAATTTTGTAACAAGGACTATGGAGTAGAAACAGACGAGTCAAAACTGGGTTTTGTAATTCCAGAAGTCACCTTATACTGTCTCAGCCTAGGCCAGACAGAGCGGCTTCCCCACTGGACACTGCACTCCGGTTAGGGAATCAAGAAGGGACTCATGCCTCAGTGCGTGTGTGGCCCTGGGGGAGCTTTCTCACCAACACATGGATCCACGGGTGGTTGGGGACTGCAGGTGCTCACACAAAGCTGGACCACCCACATCTCCCACCACGGGGGTGTGCCGGGGGGTGGGGGTAAATCGTGCTCCGCCCCCTGCTCAGAACAGGGTGTGCGCACTGTCACGCACAGGACCTGCACCCACATCTCCCACCACGGGGGTGCGCCGGGGGGTGGGGGTAAATCATGCTCCGCCCCCCGCTCAGAACAGGGTGTGTGCACTGTCACGCACAGGACCTATGAGGGGTTTGCACCTAAGTGTTGGGAAGTGAGCGAGCAGTTAGAACCTTCTGGAATGAGCTACAGAAGGGTGTTTAGAAATTTGTAGGTATTAACATTTTGTAAACAGTATTTTGCTGATGTTGATCCTAGATGTACAGTACACTGATCGCTGGCTCGGTACATGTCAGCCGGAAGTCAATAAAACAGGAAGTCAATACACCACTTGACCAATCCTTTTTGGTCAAACAATGTGAGCTGGGCAGTTTTCCCCTAAATACAGCATATCCTTTCCCCATCTGCTACCCTCCAGGTGGAAGGGAAAGAACTGTTTCTAGGCTCTGAGGAGGACTATCTCCTTGTCAGAACTCCAGAGAGCAAGACGCTACATTCAGAGGGATGTGGAAACACCACACTTGTACATAAAGGGACATCTCCTGGAATGGGTGCCCTCGGCTGTGCGGGTATCGTGGCTCACTTGGCAAAGCCAAAATACCAAACTCAAGGATGTGGCAAAATGAACAAAGAACGAAACACCTGCCCACCCCACAAGGAGCTAAGAGCGGAATACACACCACTAGTAGAGACAAGGAGGAAGGAAAATTAGCCCGTTAGCCAATGTACTAACATTTAGCAAATTCAATACAGCTTGGTACAACTCCACTGAAAGATTTCTCCCACAAAAGGCTGTTGCTGTCTAGAATATATATCCCAGATGCCTTTGACCCCTCTGCATATTTGCTTGTTACGGCACTGGGAAGTGGGTATTACCACTTGGTTTTGATCAATCAGTTTTCATTTCAGTCACTTCATCTGGAGTTCAACAGCTACTGAGCTAAACTGAACAGTAGCTTCTTTGCTTTTAAGTCACAATACCTCTTCCCAACGTTTGGAAATTGGACATGGAAATAAATGTGGATAATGAAGTTTAAAAAAAAAAAAAAGCTTAAGACATTCAAAACAAAAGACCAAAATTAACCTAAAAAGATAAAGATGACATTTTGACCACACTGGAAAGCAAAGCACAATGTTCTGGTAAATGATTCTCCTGTAAAATTAGGCAATCATGGTGACAGAGATCTTCTACCCTGTAATCCTGAGTGTGGGCATTTACGATCCCTGTACTGTACTGCTACGCAAATAGGTTATTTGCGCTTCTGCAACGTCTTCGCACCTTCTGTGCTGCTCATTAAAAACACATTCATGTATGCAGCACAGACTAAGACGCAGTTTAAGTATGACTGGCTCACTTTTCTCTGAAGTGGATTACACATGCCCAAACTTTACGACATTGTAACTGTGCCATCTAAGCATCTCTAGCTGATTTAGAAAGGATTATATCAGATGTATGACTCAGGGGCCGTATCCAAGCAGTGGAGCAACTCTGTACACCTCACAGCAAGACCTCTCGTTTATTTTAATTACTGTACAAAAAGGACAACGTAATGCTCATTATAATGTCTCAATACCTTCCCAAAGAGCTACTCTCCTTCTTCCCTTGCCAAAGTACAGGGATTGAGTAACTGGATTAAACTCTCATGTGTCTTAAGCACACAATGTATCCAAGTTACCAACTTTATCAGGTTCTCCTGTCTGCAAGCATGTTCTCCTTGTACTGTATCTGAAAATAAAACAATGACAGAACAATTAATTACCTGTAATTAATTACATCTGCACAGCCTAACCTCCATTCTAAGGTCTCTGTAGTGAAGTCATCGGTGTTACCCAGATCAGTAAAGCCCACAACATAGTCTCGTGTTTTTCCATCTTTCACTAGTGCCAGAGTGGGAATTACTTTGATGCGCAGTCTCTCGCACAAGAAAGGAGACTTTTCAGCATTTAACTTCAAGAATTTTGTCTCGATGTGCTTTTTTGCCAACACAGTCAAGTGTTTGTCCATTATTTGGCACCTGTGAAGAAAGAAAAAATATATCAAGTGTTAGAATCAATAAGCTGAAGAACATGTATCTTAGAGAAAGTTTAAAAGGAACAGTAAAGAGCTAGTTCTATCACGTTAATTCCTCAGATATAACCTTTGTGATTAAGAACTCAAGAGAAGCCGTGTGTCAAAAGAAGCTGAATTTAATGACTAATAGAATAACAGCCTGGAGCACCTTTGCTGCACAATTACACCAGCCGTTTCTCTTACTTCTTCCTAATTACTCCCACATACACCTGAAAGCCTCTCTCATTTCTTGAGGCCTGCATTATTGATGAAATTTCCCTCTGACCTATGTTCTTCCTGCTCTAGTTTCACTGCCTGTCAACTGGAAAAATTTCTCTGTAATGAACTTTCTATCTTCAGAAAAGTACGCTCAACAGGTTACAGAGGTTTGGGTTTATTCAGTCACTACATCTGCAGCTGAGATGCAGTAACTCCCTGCAGAGAAAGAAGGAGAAAACCAGTGTGATTTGCACAGACTGCTTCAGTAGTGCTGCAGGCAAAAACGTTTCACTTCTCTGTTGCAACAGGAGTGAGCATACAATTACTGTTTCTCAGCTAAGGGACAGTAACACCAGCTGCTCAACACACTTGTCAGATGGCAGAGATTTGTGGACTTGTCAGCTGCACTCTCAACTTTCTCGACTGTGGTGGTTTGGCTTAGCTGCATGAACTCTGATGTGACTGTCCTTTCACTCAAGAGGAGAGCCGAGTAGATCAAAAAGCTGGACTGGCCAAGGATGAAAGCAACTTGGTATTGGTAACACCTGACACAGCAGCTTCAAGCTGGAGGTCAGCATGACATGTTTCACAAAGAACTAAAAGTTATTCCTCCCATCCCAGTCTACAGACTTCGTTGGTTCAAGAACCAAACAACCCAAACCTGTTCTAAGCTGTTTTATTCACAGAGACAGTCTTTCAACTTCACTGAGTGAAAGCTAGCTGAATACAACTGCTTCAGATATTTCTGAAACTTTTAAATTAGAAAATGTAGGGTGCAGATATATCACCCCATAATCCACCTTTGACCTCTTCCAAGTTCTCACACTGAGGCTGTTTCAGTTTGCGTTCTGTAAGCTGGAGAGAACATAACCCCTTGGGGTGCAGGGGACTGACACAACCAACCAACACCAGGACAACTGGCTCCTCCTCCAACAAACGACTCTACTTTGCAACTGCATTTTAACAGAAGAGACTGGGACAGACCCACCGAGGAACAGCCTACAACCCAGAATTTGTGAAGTTCTTCCAAGGGAAGTGGGAGATCTTATTTTAGGATGCTGTTCTGAGTCGGGACATATTCTCACATCTAAGTCTCTCACACCCTAGAAAAGTGACATAATCACAAAGGGAAAGCAGCTGCAACTGGTACCAACAGATCCTTTTATAGCAAAAGGTTAAACCCTGAAGATGCCTAGGCAAGTTTCTATTTACGTTTTTGTTTGCCAAACTGTCCAGAATATCTCCATCTGGAGTAACGGAAGTGACCTTTTTGAAATACTGCTTACGTACGGAGCATTTACTGCCCTGGCTCCCTCAAACCAAACTAATAAAGACACACAGCACTCTCTCAAATACTGTCAAAGAAGTTTAACGTTTGTACACTAACCAACTATGTAAGAGAGTATTGATCACTGTCAACTCGTGTCCAGATTAATTGGAATGGAAATTCTTTTTTTTAAATCAAATGTCTTGAGAAGGGAGCATGACTTAGAAAAACGAAAGAATTTGAATGGTTCTAAAGATGCCTATTTCTTTGTGGGATTTGAAAGAACAAAAGAACACATCTGGGTTTGCAGACATCTATAAACAAAAGGTTTCTCGAGTGTAGCTTATTTACTATACCTGAAAGTTGTATCTCTATAGAAGTGACAAACCACGTTTTTACTTTCTTTGACTTCTTGGAAAAAGTCTCTCTCACTTGGGATTTCTCTGTATTCTCCATGTCCTTTTGAAAGCCACTCCTTTTGGAAAACATAAAAGGAAATAATCAGTATGGACTCTGATCATCCTACACCCATCATGCAAGCTCTACACCTTTTAAGAAAAATAAAAGAGAGGCCCTGTAGTGGAAACCCACTTCATACAGTACTAGACAGAAACAAATTACTTCCCCCTTTAGTTCTGTTTTGAAAATACGCAAATGCCACCAGGCTAGACAATACTTTTGGGCTGTCTCTTTCTCAACAGGAAATGGGCGGTTGAGCAGTAGAGCTACCTTGCTTACCTGGAAATACAAATACTACACAGAGCTGCCTAACTTTCTGTAGTGCAGCCTCTCGGTGAGACTAGACTAGTTCAAAGAGAACACCACCAGAAAACTCTCAGCATCTGAAAACTGCTGATCGACAGCCTGGGTTACTCTGTTTAAAATGTTTTTGTACACTCAAACAACTATTGTCTAAAACCAGTTCAAGTCATTACATGTATAAGATGGATTTCTGCTAATTTTTCTCTCTATGAAAAAAATCAGCGAGAAAAAAGCCTACCAACTCACCTGCAACAGATGATGTTTATCAAATACAAACTGAAGGTATCAATATGAGCCAGGCTTCCAGAAAACCATTTGGAACACACATGCATACCATTAGTCACAAAACATATGGAGAAACAAGAATTTCACAAGGCAAGGTTTACAGGCAACTTCAAAAACTGCCTGATTACGTGTGCAAATAGTTTTGGAAAAGCTAACCTTCTAGGTTTTCAACAAATGCACTTAAGAAAAACCCCAGCTTCTACAATACTAAAAGTTAATTGTAGCGTATTAAACCTAAGTACGGACTAAGCTAAATGATAACAAGCAGTGCAGTATGACAGAACTTCACAAAAATCTTTAATTTCCAGGGTGTGTGTGTGTTTTGGAAATTTAGGTAAATCACTGTTCTTGATCTTGCAAGTTCTGTCTTGGCATAGTGAATAAAAAAAAAGAAGAAAAAAGTTTCCTGACAAACCAAAAATTCCCTGTAAGTTAAATTAGGATAGAAGAAAGCATTTCCTGAACACTGCACACATTAAAAATGCATAGAAGTATGAGCACATGAAGGAGTCATGATGCAAATCAAGAACTGACTTATCCTTCGACAGTGGGTACGCATTAATTCCCCTCTGCACAAGCCTGCTCCAGAACAGCATGGCACCTTGCTCCTTTTGCCAAGAAGTGTCCTGCTTCAAATTCGTGTTTGAAAATGCATGGCAACAGTGACTTAAGATCAAGTGACATGAAAAAGTTTTGGTATGAGAACTACCACATGTTCCCATCCAAGAGCTAAGACTTCTGAAAAAGGAAAACACTAGAATCAAATACAAACTGAACTTCTAGAGACAAGCAAATAGTGTGCTGCTTTCTCTACTTCCGTGTTTAGAGAACCAAAGCTGCTAACACTGCCTGTTCTCCAGCATCCCAACCATGCCATGGCATTTTACTGCATTCCCATTGCCTTATGGGTTCTACCACAGCCAGAAAATCTCCTTTCAACCCAGTCACTTCCCTCCCAAGCCAGACTATTCCTTTGTTTAGGTTTGCTTAGATGGAGCCAGCTAAGAAACCTATGGCTTCTCTATTTACAATTCACATCTCACACCGTATGTTACCAAAACTATGTTCAAGGAGACTTTCTGGGAAGCATAGAGACCACAATTTAGCATGAGGTATGAGGGACTAATGCAGAATTTCTTTCCTGCAAGAAGAAACGAGCAGTCATACACAGACAACATTTCACTGGGTTAAAAGGAGTAGGACAAATGAGTCCACCCTAGGTACAGGGAAAGACCCTGTATTGTTCTTCTACGGAATACCTTAAGAGAAGAGCATGCATCACTTACATGCCATAACTAATAAGCTCCAGAATTCAGAAGCTTAAGGAGCCTAAAGGCTTATGATTATGTTGCCTACAAGACTTATGCTTCCAGAGAACAATTTTCAGTGAATACGGACTCAAATCTTTCTAGAGACTCTTTATCCTATCCTTATTGTAAACAATCACACAGGTTCCTCTCTCCGCCTGTTAAACACACAGCATGCACACCTGGACAGACACTTGCTTTGCAGGATAATTTAAAATGAGTAACTAGAGAAAGATGAAGGAGGGGAAAAAAACCCAAAACATAAAACCAATCCCAAAACACACAGCTCATGTACACTTTCCCTAGGATTTGCATCAAGAGTCTGTATTACAACAAGAATTACTTGTTTCTGCTGCTGGGCCTTTTTCAGTGCCTCAAGCCTCCTCTGTTTAAGGCATTCCAATTCATCTTCATCCATTTGGTCCAGCTTCTGTATTTCAGCATCCAGATGTTCTTCCACCACCTTGGTAGTCTGAAGTATTTCATTCTCAAGAACTTTAAGTATTTCAACTGAAGTATCAGCAGCCATCTTTAACTAGAAAGTGACCTCTTCAGAGCTGTGGAAACAGTCATATGTGGAATTAACATTTATACAAACACTCCATTAAAAGCCTGACCTCTCTTACTTGCTGTTCGCACTGTAAACAAAACCAAATACTATGCTATTTGAAGACAGCAGTAGACTTCCTTTCTATATTGAAACCCTCTTTGGAGAGTACTTTCACAATGAACACAGATGGCAACAAAAGATACCAGTCAAATCCCATTCCCTCAATCCCAAAGCCAGCTGTGCACAGGAACCTGAAATTACTTGTCGATATAAAGAAGTAAAATGCACCAGTTCCAAAGGCACGCTCATCCTGAGCCAAATCCATGTAGCTTTAATATTACGAAACCAGAAGATGCAATTGGAAAGCTCCAAGCTGCTGGGAGGAGGTGCAAGAGGTCTCAGAGTAAGTCTAAGCAATGCTCAGTATGTAAGTTTCTGCCAGCAGTTTAAAAGCAATTACTTTAAGTACCTTACGCATATGAACATATTTAAATTTGAATTAACACTCCTCTCTCCTCAGCTAAAAGACAGACAAGGCATTCAACAGGAAACGCTCTAGGCCAATACACTGCTTCAATTAGTACAAGAAAACTGCCATTGCAAACACCACCCTACAGCAGCCAGCAAAAGGATTCAAAAAAACTCATCAACCCCTAACCAACTGCTGTGTGAAGAAACACTGCTAAAATAATTTTCTGTGAAGTTCCCCCTGCCCAAACACTTCAAAAGGCACAAAATACGAAGTCTGGGGTGCATTAAGAGCTGGGGCAATGTCAGCTGGGGGGAGGCATCTTTTTACAAGGGCCTGTAGTGACAGGGCAAGGGGTAATGGGTTTAAATTGAAAGTGGGGAGGTTGGAACTGGATGGTCTTTAAGGTCCCTTCCAACCCAAACCAGTCTGTGATTCCATGGAATGTTCTCCCCCATAAATTTACCCTGCAAAAAACTATTACTGTAATGAGTGAGAGTTTTGAAACAGGGACAGTGCGCAGTCACCCTAATCAGTTTCTCAACCTGCAGGCCACAAATTTGATGGGCTGAATTTGGGTACTCTTGGCTGTATTGCAAAATACCCAAACTACCAGTGCCATTAGCTTTGTAAACACCTTGCACACAGCGACAAGAAATCATCTGAAGTAGCGACGGGCCAAGTAGCAGCATCACGGCAGCACTCCAAGCGGAACGCAACATCAGCAGTGCTGAGCCTCCACACGCGTCACGGCCAGGCTTGCTCTGATCTGCAGCACCCTGACCCGAGTTTCCCTCCCCAAAGCTGCCAGCTGCAAAGTCGGTGTCTTCCATCCCCTTTCCTTGTATCCCCAGGGGAAATACGAACCTTGCCAACACAGGTCAGTGGCCTCTAGGCAGAGGCCACTACAGAGGAAGGGAACGCTGCTCAGCTAAGGCAAAGGGAGGCTTGTCCCCCAGGCTAGCAGGAAGGAAAACGGAAAAGCCAACCCCAGGCAGCCTCCACCGCCGCCCGAGGTGCCCAGAGGACTGCCAGCTCCCCAGGCCGCCGAAACCTGGGTGCCAACTACGTGTCCTCCG